CTTGCTTACAAGAACCAAAATTACACTCAGCTGTTTTCCAACCTATCTCAGGCTATAATTTATTGTATTCTTTGGATCCTTTCTCAGATGGGACCTTTAATGAAAGTGCCCTTCTTCTACGCACTGATATTCCGTACCATCAGCTATTTGTTCATACTTCGCTGCATTACACAGCAGCCCATATCCACTTGCATAGGCGGTATACACTCTGTTCTTTGTATTTCTCTCCTTCTCGGCCATTATCTATCCCGGATATTGTCTTTCTTGTTTCGTCATTACTGCCACCACTTCTGTTACTTGGCGATTTTAATGCCCATCATTTCCTCCGGGGGGGGGGGCTCACTGTGATTCCTGTGGCATTCAGTTAGAGGCTTTTCTTGCTACCCACCCCCTCCATGTTTTAAATACAGGTACCCACACCCATTTTGATCCTCGGACTCATACTCTCTCTTGCATCGATCTCTCAGTCTGCTCTTCCTCTGCCACATTAGACTTCGCCTGGTCTGTTCTCCCGGATTTACATGACAGCGATCATTTCCCAATCATTCTTTCTTCCCCTTCATATTCACCACCTCTTTGTATCCCAACACGCTGGCAATTTGATCAGGCAAATTGGAACCTTTACTCACAAGTAACTGTTTTTAGTGCGGTTCCTCTTCGTCCTCCATTGATGAGCTTTTACACCTCTTCTCGTCCTCTGTTTTAACCACAGCTTCTCATTCTATAACCCAAACTTCGGGCAGGCATTCTCAGAAATGTGTGCCTTGGTGGTCTCCTGCTTGTGCTCATGCAGTACGTTTGAAACGCGCTGCGTGGGGCAGGTACCGGTACAATAGAACCACGGAGAGACTTCTTGATTTTAAGCAGAAGCATGCAATCGCTTGCCGTGTCATCCATGATGCAAAATTCACTTGCTGACGAGATTGTCTCCACCATCACCTCTGCTTCCTCTATGAGTGCAGTCTGGAAAAAAGTACGAAAACTGAGTGGTAAATATTCTCCTGACCCTCCTCCTGTTCTGCGGGTTGCCGGTGTTGATATAGCAAACCCACTAGATGTTGCCAATGAAATTGGCAATCATCTGGTCCGTATTTCTCAGGGGCTCCATCTATGCCCCTTGTTTCTTTCCTCAAAGTCTGCCAGAGAGTTAGCACCCTTGGACTTTTCTTCTCTCAGAGAAAAACAGTATAATGTGCCTTTTACACTTCAGGAACTGGAGGCAACACTCTCAGCTTGCTGATCATCGGCAGCTGGGCCCGATGACATTCATATTTGTATGCTACATAATTTACATCAGTCAGCCCTTGCAGTCCTATTATGCCTTTTCAATCTTATTTGGTCACAAGGAGTTCTTCCACAGCTGTGGAAATCTGCCATTGTTCTCCCTTTCCGCAAACCGGGCACTACGGGACATGAAGCCTCCCACTATTGTCCCATTGCTCTTACCAGTGCAGTTTGCAAAGTGATGGAACGCCTGGTAAATAGACGTTTAGTGTGGTATTTAGAGACACACAACAGTCTCTCCATTCGTCAATATGGCTTTCGTAAGGGCCGTTCTACGATAGATCCCTTACTACGCTTGGATACGTATGTTCAAAATGCTTTTGCGAATAACCACTCGGTTATTGCCATATTTTTTCACCTTGAGAAGGCATATGACACAATTTGCAGGTATAATATTTTGGCCCAAACCCACTCCTTAGGCCTTCGAGGCAATCTACCATCCTTTCTTAAGAACTTTTTAACTGACAGACATTTCTGTGTTTGGATTAATAATGTGCTCTCCCCGGACTTTATCCAAGCTGAAGGTGTCCCCCAGGGATGTGTTCTGAGCACAACACTTTTTCTCCTTGCTATAAATGATTTGACCTATAGTCTTCCATCCAATATTTGGTCATCTCTCTCTGTTGATGACTTCGCTATTGCCTGTGCAGGCGCTGACTATCACCTCATTACAGTTTCTCTCCATCATGCGGTCGACCATGTTTCCAATTGGGCCACCACACATGGGTTTAAATTTTCCAGTACCAAAACTCACCAAATTACTTTCACTAGACGCTCTGTCATCTCCGATCATCCTTTATACCTCTATGGTACCCGTATCCCTGAACGTGATACAGTCAGGTTTCTAGGCCTCCTCTTTGACCGTAGGTTATCCTGGAAACCTCACATTACCTCTCTGAAGGCAACTTGTCACAGCCGGCTGAACCTTCTTAAAACCCTTGCTCATCTTTCCTGGGGAGCTGATCGTCGAACTCTCCTTCGCCTACATTCCACCCTCATTTTATCAAAACTTGACTATGGTGACCAGATCTATTCAGCTGCCTCTCCTGCTACTATCTCTAGCCTCAACCCTATTCATCACCTTGGTGCTCTTCGCTCTTCCCCTGTTGAGAGCCTCTATGCAGAAGCGAACGTTCCATCCTTATCTGATCACCGTGATGCCCATTGCCTTCGCTACTATGTACACTCTCATGATCGCCGTAATCCTTCCATTTATAGAATGGTCACTGATATTAGTAGACATTCTTTATTTGTTTGCCACCCCTGTTTGCTCCATCCCTTCTCTCTTTGACTACATTCGCTCTTGTCTTCTCTTCAATTTCCACCTCTCTATGTTCATGTAGCATCTCACTTTTCCCTACCCCCCTGGGAAGTTCCAGCTGTTCGAGTCTGTTCTTTCTCATTCCCTTGCTCGAAAGCCCAACTGTCTACGGTAGCTTCCCGCTCTCTTTTTCTTGACCACGTCCACTCTCATTCTCATGCCATTGCAGTGTACACAGATGGCTCTAAGTCTTCTGATGGTGTAGGATTTGCAGCAGTGTTTCCGGACAGCATCGTAGGAGGGCATTTACTATCTTCGGCTAGTATGTTTACCGCTGAATTGTATGCCATTCTTGCAGCACTTATCCGTATTGCATCTATGCCAATGTCATCGTTTGTGGTTGTCTCAGACTCCCTTAGTGCTTTACAGGCTATACAGAAATTTGATACACCTCACCCCTTAGTCCTCCGTATCCAACTTTGGCTACGCTGCATCTCTACCAAGCATAAAGATATTGTTTTTTGTTGGGTCCCTGGTTATGTTGACGTACAGGGCAATGAACAGGCAGACACTGCTGCGCGGTCAGCAGTACATGACCTACTAGTTTCATATAGAGGTGTTCCATTTACGGACTATTTTGCTGCAATAGCTACCCACCTTCACACCCGTTGGCAACAACGTTGGTCTACTCTACTCGGTAACAAACTTCAATCTATTAAACCGAGTATAGGCTACTGGCCGTCTTTTTGTCACCAGTGCCGAGGTTGGGAGACTACTCTCTCCCGTCTCCGCATTGGCCATACTCGTCTCACTCATGGATATCTCATGGAGAGGTGCCCTGCTCCTCTCTGTGAGAATTGTCAGGTTCTATTACCGGTCAGCCACATTCTGTTAGACTGCCCACTTTATCAACGAGCATGCAGAATTTACCTCCAAGGTCGTCTTCGCTCCGTTGCTCTCTCTTTACCTTCCCTTCTCGCTGATGGACCCACCTTTCATCCGGACTCTCTCATTGACTTTTTGACAACAACTGACTTACTTCACAAACTCTGATGATACCTTCAGCCCTTTCTACCTCGATCTCTTGCTACTCTGTACCCTGCACTATCCCCTGCCCCGCTGTTTTCTGTAACCTACTGATCGCCCCTCCCCCCTTCTGCTGCCCAATACCCTCGCTTCCTTTCCTACCCTGCAACGCTGTATAGCCCTTGTGGCTTAGCGCTTCTTTTTGATTATAATAATATTGAGGAAACGTTTCTTCACACAGTGACTTCATCAATCGAGGACAAATAAGGATGGCGAAGATCAGAAGAAGTTTGAGGTAATCAGTCCCTCAGTCTGAATTCGATGTAATCAGTCCATCAATCTTGAAAAGACTGATAAAAAAAATTAGGTATGGCATCCCCATTCCTTGGATCAAGCCTGAATGGGCTATATGAACCTAGTTTTAGTGCCTCCCCACCTCTAATGAATGTAATAACATTGGAGAAAGTCTATCATTTTTTTTTTTTTGCTGCCCACCTGCAGACTTCACTAGTCTGGCCGAAGTAAATCACTTGAAAATAGAATTTCTAAATTCTTGTTACCTTCGTTAAAAAAAAAAAGGCCCAAATTGCAGAGACTATTCCGAGTTTAAAGTTATATTCTAAATTAGAATTTTAAATAAGAGGCATTTCATTTACTCGAATGTAACTGAGTATTGACTAATAAAGTTGGAAAATGAAGGAGTGACAACATGCCGGAGTGCTCGGGCTAATAAAGACAGTAAGATGGAGAGCATCTGAGTCAACCAACTTTCTCAGTCGGAGAGAGAGAAATAATTATTATGATCAAAAGAAAATTTTTGAAAGGGGAGTGCTGGGAAAGAGTAAAAACTTACTAAACTTTCTTTTAAAATTTGTAAAAGGCAGATTAAACATGAAAGATAAAACACAAATAATTACTCTTAGGCAACGAGAAAACATTGAGAAGAGAAACTGAAGTACCGAATGTGAAATTTCTGGGAATGTTTTTAGACGGATAGCATTGGAAAAAAAAAAGTTGAATGAAATAAAATATATACAGAGGACAATGATTAAAAAAAAAACCAGTGAATTCTGATAGTGTCACTTTGGATTTCAAAGTAACTTGGGAAGGAATTAGTTACCTGCTCTGGATTATTGCTTTTTGATTATAATAATAATCTGGATTATTGCAATCTTCATAACTTGCCTGGAAGAGGATAAACTTGCAGATAAATGGAACATAAGTATTAATAGTTTATACAAAAAGACGATGGAGAAATTCCTTTAAGCAACGAATAAGTAACTTCACATACACATACACCCCCGGAACTGTCTCCAGGTAAACTCCAGGTATACATTGTACAGTATTTTTACTGAATATTATGATATTCAATTAGAACTGGCTGAATTATCTGACACATCGACGAACCTTATAAATGATCTTGTCTTACCTGGTTAATAAACCCAGACCAGTTTACATGTGGCAAGTTGACCTGAAATCAAATAAAAGTAATAAGTAAAGTTCTCTAAATAATTTTACATTAAAATTCTGTTGGTAAGAAAATGAGCATATGTATGTTTAAAGGGTGCATATGTATGTTTAAAGGGTGCATATGATGTTTAAAGGGTGCATATGATGTTTAAAGGGTGCATATGATGTTTAAAGGGTGCATATGTATGTTTAGAGGGTGCAAATGATGTTTAAAGGGTGCATATGATGTTTAAAGGGTGCATATGATGTTTAAAGGGTGCAAATGATGTTTAAAGGGTGCATATGTATGTTTAGAGGGTGCATATGATGTTTAAAGGGTGCATATGATGTTTAAAGGGTGCATATGATGTTTAAAGGGTGCATATGTATGTTTAGAGGGTGCATATGATGTTTAATGGGTGCATATGATGTTTAAAGGGTGCATATGATGTTTAAAGGGTGCATATGTATGTTTAAAGGGTGCATATGATGTTTAAAGGGTGCATATGATGTTTAATGGGTGCATATGATGTTTAAAGGGTGCATATGATGTTTAAAGGGTGCATATGTATGTTTAAAGGGTGCATATGATGTTTAATGGGTGCATATGATGTTTAAAGGGTGCATATGATGTTTAATGGGTGCATATGATGTTTAATGGGTGCATATGATGTTTAATGGGTGCATATGATGTTTAATGGGTGCATATGATGTTTAAAGGGTGCATATGATGTTTAAAGGGTGCATATGTATGTTTAGAGGGCGCAAGTGATGCTTAAAGGGTGCATATGATGTTTAAAGGGTGCATATGATGTTTAAAAAGTGCAAATGATGTTTAAAGGGTGCATATGTATGTTTAGAGGGTGAATATGATGTTTAAAGGGTGCATGTGATGTTTAAAGGGTGCATATGATGTTTAAAGGGTGCATATGTATGTTTAGAGGGTGCATATGATGTTTAAAGGGTGCATGTGATGTTTAAAGGGTGCATATGATGTTTAACCCTTTCAGGGTCCGTCCCGTAGATCTACGGCTTTACGGTGAGTGTCCAAACCGTAGATCTACGCCATGAGCTCAGCTCACTCTGATAAACTGTGAGTGGTACATTTGGGCCTAGATATGAGAGAATACATCTATGTGGTATGTGTGCACCACATAAAACAGATCCTGCAGCACACTGTGTATAATGAGAGAAAAAACTGAAATCATGATTTTTCGATTAAAACAGCAACTTTGCAGTGTTTTTTCGTATGTTTTTTATAGTTGTATTTGCGATTTCTTGGTCTCATTTGATAGAATGGAAGACATATTACAGAAATAGAGATGATTTTGATTGGTTTTAGCAGTGGAAATGGCTTGAAACTGAGCTCAAAGTAGCGGAAATGTTAAATTTTTGCCGATATTCAAGAGTAAACAAACGACCTCACACATCTAATACACGTCAGCTGGTGGGTCTAATATACATTCACAAATATGGTGATGATATTTATACAATTATTGCAGTATTGCATAACAGTAAATCTTCTATTTTTTGGTGTGAATAAAATTTCATTATGTGAATAAAAAATCAAAATGGAATTTATTTGTAAAGCCTCAAAACATAACTAATGAACAGAGGAAATGTTAGTTTAGTGCCAGGAATGCCTACATTGTTTATTCTGGACCCTATTTTGAAATTGGAATATTTTGAACTTTGTGTTAAATTGGCCAAATTAACAATTTCCGATCACTTTATTTTGTAGTTGAAACAGTTGACTTGGCGATTTTTTGTGCTCAATCGATAGAATAGAAGTAATACTAGTGAAATAGCTAAGAATTTGGTTGATTGGAATAATGTAATTGGCCTAAAATGGGAGTCAAAGTCGGCAAAATCGCCGATTCGTAAATATCGCTGACACATCAAAATTCGTGAGAGCATAATTTCGTCAATTTTCCACCAAATTTCGTACTTTTTGTTTTATTACCTTCACAAAAAGATTCTCTACGATTTCATAAGAAAAAATAACAAATTTTTTTTTTGAAAATTCTTGGACACTGGTGCGTGACTACAGATTTGGGCCTTGGACCCTGAAAGGGTTAAAAGGTGCATATGTATGTTTAGAGGGCGCAAATGATGTTTAAAGGGTGCATATGATGTTTAAAGGGTGCATATGATGTTTAAAGGGTGCAAATGATGTTTAAAGGGTGCATATTTATGTTTAAAGGGTGCATATGATGTTTAAAGGGTGCATATTTATGTTTAAAGGGTGCATATGTTTAAAGAGTGCATATGATGTTTAAAGGGTGCATATGATGTCTAAAGGGTGCATATTTATGTTTAAAGGGTGTATATTTTTAAAGAGTGCATATGATGTTTAAAGGGTGCATATGTATGTTTAAAATTTAAAATTTCAATTTTCATTTCTATATTGGGGTTATAAGGCGAGGCCTGGTCACAGACCGGGTCGCGGGGGCGCTGATCCCCAAAATTCTCTCCATGTATACTCCAGGTATCCCTGAAGGCAGACCTTTAAAATAGCTGCCAATTTTTTTCTTCCTTCAAGTTTTCTTTTTATTTCGTTCATAGCTGGAGGCATCATCTGAATAACATCAAATTCTCAACGCCGGTGTATGTTAATTAGATCAGTATTCTAGGAATAACTGGGATGTGCAGCAACTCTATGACCACAACTGTAGGTGGGGTGGTGATGGAATGTGTGGTGTTTGATGGTGGAATGTGTGGTAAAGGAACTCATTCACAACATTTACCTTATTCCTTGTAATGACCCTCGTATTGTAGATAGTCTTAATGACCTTGGTGTAGCAGATAGTCTTTTTAGTATGATAATAAGATGTTATCTTCATTGTAGAATAATAAGAAAATATTATAACCTTTATACTATAATAATAAGGTAAAAGGACCCCAATGGAAATAAGTCACTCTGTCTGACTTTTTTGGGTTATCCTAGGTTCTCTACACATATGCTGCTATGTATGATAATTCTATGTAACTGTATTTGTGTATACCTGAATAAACTTACTTACTTACTTACTAATAGCTCCGATAACCTCCAAAACCCTCAGCCGCGCAGCTTCAAACGTTCAGTAAAGGCGCCTCCTAATTCGATAATGGTAAAGAGTGAAATTCAAGTGTTATGGTGCACTACCAATTTTTTGTATAAAAAGAGTGTGAAATTTTGATTTACTTTAACTGTTAAATATATTTAGGTCTACGTCTTCTGAATGGCTTCAGTATATAATGGGTGATGTTCTCATTAAGTTTAGTTTGTGAACGAGAAAAGTTGTCATGACTCCATTTTTCTTTATGAAACTTAGAATAATTGTATCCCTGTGATAGCTTGAGAATGCTTCTTATGATCGACTTCAACTTTTCAGATATTTTGTGTTTAGAAAGCAAAGTTCGCCTTATTGTTGAGTTCCATAAATCCCAATCTGACAGTTTTATTAGCCCTTAAACTGCCTCTTTACACTGTTCATAAATGATGTTGAAATATAGCTGATGTCTAAGATAGTGAAATTTGGAAGTAACACAAAAGTAAGGAATAATGAGCATGTTGTTGGAGTCATTATATGAGTCAAGAGCCTTCAATGATGACATAGAATCAGTAATGATGATAGAGTCAAGCTCAGTGTCATAGGTTAGCTTTAGCGCCATTAGGATTGCAAACAATTCAGTTTGCAGTGTAGACGCCCAGTTGTTAATTCCTATGCCTAACTCAACAAATTTATTATCGTTCTTAACAAGGGAGGTGGCAACAAGAGCAGATGCAGCCCTGCCAGAAGACTCCTGTTTAGATCCATCAGTGTATATAACTTGTGATAACTTATTACTAACAGCTAGGTGAGAAATTTCTTCTTGAGCAGTTGCTCTAACAAGAGATTTAAGGAAGGGGTTACTAGCAATGAGCTTCTTGGGAGGGACTTGTAGGTATGTGATATTAAATGAACACATCTTCCACGGAGGGGTGAAATGCTCTTGTTGCCTACAGTGATACAGTTCATGTAGGTTATAAAACTTAATGCAATTGCACGTTTTCTAAAAGCACTATGAAAGTGGGGACTTTTAGAAGCATTCTTTAGTTAAAGAATAAGAAACAAATGTCACTATTTATTCAATAAAACTGGGATTTACGCCACACGGTGTCAGCGTTGAGTCTTGTGATCAGGGAACCACAATATTGGTGACAATTTGAAGCCGATGTTTAACGCTTCCCCATGATAATAATAATAATAATTGAAGCCGACAAGATGAATCATTCTCCAGTTATGGCACAGATTTCAACGATTCTATTTTTTTTTCAGTATTTTAACTCGTCAACAAATTTTCCTGCACTCCAACATCAGTCATTAAATACTGAAGCCGGTCAGAAGTATATTGAATATTATTTAACGTGATTTAATGGAAATTAAAGTTTCGCACTATTTTACACTTAAAATCGTCTAATCTGCTCCTTCACACCTGTAGATGAATGGTTCAGAGAACCGACTTGTTGTTGAATTAGACACATGTGCAACTCTTGGGTATCTTTATTGAGGAAACGTTTCGCCACACAGTGGCTTCATCAGTCCATACAAAGGAGAAACTTGAAGAACAGGAGGAGAATGAGGTAATCAGTCCCTCAGCCTTGAGTCGATGTTGTCAGTCCATCAATCTATTCAAGATTGATGGACTGACAACATCGACTCAAGGCTGAGGGACTGATTACCTCTTTCTACTCCTGTTCTTCAAGTTTCTCCTTTGTATGGACTGATGAAGCCACTGTGTGGCGAAACGTTTCCTCAATAAAGATACCCAAGGGTTGCACATGAGTCTAATTCCTTCACACCTGAATTTCGTTCTCCACCATAGTTTAAGAACGCGTCAAGCTCAACCACTGAATATTTTGGGAGTTATCTGAGTCATTCCAGGAATCTGTGAATGTGTTTAATAACTTTCGTCACAGGGCAAGTGAACATTCCAATTGTTCCAGGAATTTAATCCTTATTGCCGTACATAAATGTTGAAAATTTGAAGGCGATTGGATGAGGCGTTCTTGATTGTTATGTTGGAGGAAGAAAACAAGAAAAAAAATAAATGTAACATAGGATATTACACAGCCCAAATATAATTCAAAAGGATAAATATCCTAAGTAAGTTAGATGTTTTATGGACACAACCTAAGATAATAAAATAAAGTCACTGTGATTTATTTCTGATCCAGAGACATCCTTTAATTACTACATAAAAACTCATTTGATTTATGAAATTGGTACGACAAGCCTCTCGAAGCCAGGAGTGAGTGAACCCAGAAGCAACCAGCGAGAAGGCGGGGACAGCTGAGACTCGACCTCTACAACCACATGTGAATACACGTAGGTGAGCACAACCGAACATCGAAAGATTGTTTGCCTCGAGGAAAACACATCAGTATTAAAAAGTTTAAAGCAGACCAGAAGATGCATTTTCCAGTTATTGCACAGAATCCAACAAAATCGTGCACACACAGCCTAAACCCATGAAACAGTCCGTTCATTTTAAACAATCCATCAGAGAGTGATTGATGCCGTTCACAGTTATTATATTTAAATCAGAGAAAAGTGCAAACCCGTAGGGGTCATATAATGCCTGTGGAATGGGACGCATTCAGATTCGATCGAAGCAGGGGAGGGTAAGTCCAGTTCCTTGGATCAAGAACCCCTCACCAGCGTCAAGGCAAAATAATGCAATACCACTTCGAAATTAAAAGTGGCAAAATGGCATCTATACACTCCTTTAATTATACCAATTTTCTTCTAAGCAGGATATTCAGAGAAGGTTTAATAAGGTCTTCCTGACTGGTAGCGTACAGGGTTATATACAACCTTATTAACTCTGTGTCGTCGATAGGTTTTTAAACCCATTTGTAGCGCTGAATGACTCCTTTGGGTTTAGCTCTTAACTTAATTCTGTCATTTTTGTAAACTCAACTAACCAATGAACTATCATACCGAGAGGTGTATATACACCGAGAGTGTATATAATTGTAATCCCTGTTTTAGGGATTGAAATATTCTTGACTGGTGGTTAGCAGTGACGCGCAGCCTTTTAAAATTCCTCGTGTAGTCCAAGAACTGTAAACCCGCCTGAACGTACCTAGCTCTCAGGCGGTAACTGCTGTATCAGTCATTAATCCAGGTATAAGATCTTTGACCAAGCAAATGGTAAACCTAAATTATTTTCTTACGCAATGCTCTTTTACCCATTTTTTTCTTGTCGTTTTTTTGTTGACTGACCCACAACTATGGGTTAACATACACGTACATGTGTTTGCTGCTAAGTAAGCAGGGACAACAAGCGTGCAAGTAAACTTGTCCATTTATTACCCGGGACTGAGGATCGAATAAGGGACCTTTCGATTATATCATTTCAAGCCGAAGTTGTAATTTTGGGTACAGCAATAAAAAAATTACAAAATTCCCCACTATAAATAAAAGGCACTACTTACCTTAGAAGAGGAGGACATCTCAGCCATCTGCTTCTCGCGTGCAAACCATATAATATTTTTAAATTTCTCTGGGGTAAGAGCTATGCCTAGGGCTACCACCAATAGCCCCCATATGCCATATCGCAGCCCCACTTCCCAACTCACTACTAATATACAAAAGTACTGGACGTAGTGAATAATGAAGCTTCTGATTTTGTAGAAGAGCCATATGGATGTGAATAACCAACTCATCGACAGAGGTTGTTGCTTCACACTGCTCCTTGTCTTGTACTGCACCACTAAACCTGATAATTTAGCTTTTATCATAAAGCTGCGTGCGAATACGATGTTTTAACAAGGTTATGTCTAGGGCACATGTAAGTGCAGGCGGTAAAGTTGTGGAAATTACGGTTATGTAGGTAAATAAGCATATAAACGAAATTGTTGAGTTTCTTAATAATAAGGAACGCAGTTAATATATAATATGAAGAGGAAAAAGGTAAAACACAACAATCCTTCTCCACCAGTCACAAGAGTAGCACTCTGCTGATAACGGGACAATTGTCGATTACATAACACTGCAAGAATGTTAACAAACCATACCACGGGTGGGGATGGAACCTGCGACCAGACAGTCTTGTTGACGGCTTTGAGGGGACGTGAGCTAGAGTTCGTCACGGCCACGCTAGCTGGAGATTCGTCTGTAAAAACTTGCATTTGTGGTCACAGTGGTGCCTATGCTAACTTTCCTTTGGTGTAGAAATATAACTAGTTGGATAAATCTTATTGTGGCTAGCTGACCCAGTGGCTAACGCGACGGTCTGGAGTTTTGAGACTCTGATTGCGGGTTCTATCCCCGTTCGTGGTATGGTTTGTTTGCAATCGTGTCATTACGATATCGTGAGAATGTTAACAAATTTAGCGAACGTATAGGGCAATAGTTTCTCGACATAAACATTTACAAAGCTGACCAAATATTCTTCACACACACCTAGCTGCTGAAAGACGGACTTACTATACATGTTCTGAACATGTATAATAAGAACAGTGTAATAAAGAACAAAAGGCACGGTACCGTGACTGGTATAATAATATCTTTATTTCTACAAGTATATGTACAAGGTATACAGGTCTAGCTGATATCATTGACATACTACTGTACAGAAAGCAGCTTGTTTTTACCTGGAGTTTACCTGGAGAGAATTCCGGGGGTCAACGACCCCGCGGCCCGGTCTGTGACCAGGCCTCATGGTGGATCAGAGCCTGATCAACCAGGCTGTTACTGATGGCTGCACATACAGAGCATATAGGGCAAATTAGGTCAGTTTTGTCCCAGGATGCGACCCACACCAGTCGACTAACACCCAGGTACCCATTTTACTGATGGGGAACATAGATAGCCGGTGTAAGGAAACACCCTCAGTGTTTCTACCCCTTCACCGAAAATCGAACCCGGACTCTCGCCGTGTGAAGCGAGAGCTTCAGCCACAAGGCCACTAGCCACAAATTAGATTAGATTAGATTAGTTTAATATGTTTATTATGCACCCCATACCCATCCTGTGGGCGGTAGTCAAAAGATTACAGAGGTACATAATTGGTCCAGGGACTGGACTCCAAAGTTTTGATAACTGAGCAAGTTACAGAGGTAATGAACTCACAATTTACAAAGGTAATGAACTCACAATTTACAAAGGTAATGAACTCCAGGTAGGTCTGGTCACAATCATGACAAGTTACAAAGGTATTTACAGATTACAGAGGTACGTAATGGGTCCAGGGACTGGGCCCCCAAAGTTTTGATAGCTGAACTAGGTACAAAGGTAATGAGCTCACAAGTTACAAAGGTAATGAATTCTGTAAGAATGGTTACTTACGTTTATACATGGCTACAATCATGAACAAATTATAGTGTAATGAGCAATTCACACTTCCACACCCGGTCACAACTGTAGTGAGTTATTGGTGCAAATATTGATTGTTGAGTCACACACACACACACACACACACACACACACACACACACACACACACACACACACACACACACACACACACACACACACACACACACATACTCACTGACACTTAAGATTAGATTAAATTTTTTTATTTTTTACAAAGTACATGGTTGTACAGAGGAATATAATAGTTAAGTGTACATTCCAAAAGCTCATCTGTATGCTGAGCATTTCGGGCAAACTTAAAGATTAACTTAAGAATAGTAAGGCAATAATACATAGTTCATATGGTCATTAGATGAGTTAGAGTGAGTACAGGAGAATTTAATACATCAGGTGATGCCACATGGTTTCTATATAGTAGTATGTCATTGTTGTCAGCTAGGACTGTATACCATGTACATGTACTTGTAGTAAATAAAGATGTTATTATGTTATAAGTCTTGTAGAGGCTTTTTACGACGACGTTTCGGTCCATCTCGGATCATTTACAGAATCACATGTGAGTTCGTAAATGGTCCAAGACGGACCGAAACATGGTCGTAAGCCTCACTCTTCTATGTGCGTGTTATGTTTGTAATAAACAGTGTAATCATGCGACTGGCAGCGTTACTCTGACCGTACACGCTAATCCTTATGTCACAACATACATTTTCCTAGGGTTTCCAATGTCCATTTCTTTACGTTTTTCTGCAGTGAGGCTGGTTACAAAAACCCCATTAAAATACATGTTCTAAATGTATAATTATATTAAAACAAAAACAACTGCCGCAGCTCTTCCCATAAAAAAAAGTGGGTAGTCACTCTCCTTGGAGAGTGACGAGCACTTGTTAGTATACTCCTGGGAGAGTGACGAGGCAGTATCCTCGTACGACTAGTGAATCACTAGTGATTAGGTTGAATGTGATGAAGTATAACTAGGAAAATATCAAATATGTACTAATGTTACTAGTGGTGTTATATGTACTAGTGTTGTATGTACTAGTGGTGTTATATGTACTAGTGGTGTTATACGTACTAGTGGTGCCCGGGTTCGATTCCCGGCGGGTGGAAATATTTCGACACGTTTCCTTACACCTGTTGTCCTGTTCACCTAGCAGCAAATAGGTACCTGGGTGTTAGTCGACTGGTGTGGGTCGCATCCTGGGGGACAAGATTAAGGACCCCAATGGAAATAAGTTGGACAGTCCTCGATGACGCACTGACTTTCTTGGGTTATTCTGGGTGGCTAACCCTCTGGGGTTAAAAATCCGAACGAAATCTTATCTTATCTTACTAGTGGTGTTATATGTACTAGTGGTATTATATGTACTATGGTGTCATGTACTAACGGTGTTATATGTACTAGTGGTGTAATATATACCAGTGCTACTATTGGTATTATATGTACTAATGTTACTAATGTTTTAATATGTACTAAAGTAATATGTACTATTCTTACTATAGTACTGGTGTTATATATACTAGTGGTGTAAAATGTACTAGTGATACTAGTGGTGTAATATGTACTGGTGTTACTAGTGAAGTTATATGTACTAGTGGTGTTATACGTACCAGTGGTGTAATATGTACCAGTGTTAATAGTGGTGTAATATGTACCAGTGTTAATAGTGGTGTAATATATACTAGTGACACTAGTGTAATATATACTAGCGACACTAGTGTAATATATACTAGTGACACTAGTGTAATATATACTAGTGACACTAGTGTAATATATACTAGCGACACTAGTGTAATATATACTAGCGACACTAGTGTAATATATACTAGCGACACTAGTGTAATATATACTAGTGACACTAGTGTAATGTATACTAGTGACACTAGTGTAATATATACTAGTGACACTAGTGTAATATATACTAGTGACACTAGTGTAATATATACTAGTGACACTAGTGTAATATATACTAGTGACACTAGTGTAATATATACTAGCGACACTAGTGTAATATATACTAGTGACACTAGTGTAATATATACTAGTGACACTAGTGTAATGTGGAAACTTATTTGGTAACTAAAGTTCCACAGGACAGATCCAGCATGGCCGTAATGGAATGGCTGAGCTGGGTGGCCCTTAAACCCTCCCAAATAAACACATTTCTCTCCCCGGGTTGGCGATTGATGGTAGGCACTTATTTATTTATAGATTTACTCTTCAGGGAAGGAGTAGGTAGTTTTACTGTTAGTATATTAATATTAGGTTTACTAAGGCAACTGTAGATAATAATAATGTAGACCTAAGACCTTAACATAGGTAGTAATAGGCCGATAATGTAGGCAAACACTAGGATAAGTTAGCTAGGGAGAACTGGCAGCCCTAGTTTGAACGAAGAGATGAGGGTCTGGAAGAGAGACCAGCTCATTCTTCTTAAGACAGACACCAACTGGACAAGACGTGCCGTGATCAGCAGACGGCGCCCCCCACGTGTCTTCACATTCGAGACTTGGGGAAATCTGGTAGAGGCACCTCGATGTACCGTAGATGACCTCCTCCGTCAGGCCCATACAGTAAGACAAAACCTCCACTTTATCTCGTAGATTTCTGGCCAGTGTCTGGGGAGAATTGTGAGTGAGTTTGATCTGTGGGCCTGTGTTGCAGCTGGGAGTGCATGCCCAGTAAGTACCAGTGTCTCTCGTCTATGTAGAAGCTAGTGTCCGTGTCTGCATAGTTGTACTAGGGGATACACACTCCCTTGGATATAGGAATTTCTGAGGTGCAGGCAGGTCACTAATAACGATTGAATATTGCAGGAATTAAGGCTCCTGGTTGCACGTGGTTTCTGAGGGGAAGTCCAAAGGGGCTAAGGCTAAGCTTAGGGAAGTTGAAGATCAGAATATATGCTACAACACCAAGTAAGTTAGTCCTTTATACGTGCATGCAGGCGAGTTTCTTGCAACATCAGTCATTTGTAAAAATCTATCCTATAAGCCACTTGTGAGGCTGAGGTACCCACCTCAGAGCTCGGTGTCAACAGAGTTTGCCAGGGTAGGCGACTCACTTGGAGGCAGTCCACACAAATTTTTACATATAATATATACTAGTGACACTAGTGTAATATATACTAGTGACACTAGTGTAATATATACTAGTGACACTAGTGTAATATATACTAGTGACACTAGTGTAATATATACTAGTGACACTAGTGTAATATATACTAGTGACACTAGTGTAATATATACTAGTGACACTAGTGTAATATATACTAGTGACACTAGTGTAATATATACTAGTGACACTAGTGTAACATATACTAGTGACACTAGTGTAATATATACTAGTGACACTAGTGTAATATATACTAGTGACACTAGTGTAATATATACTAGTGACACTAGTGTAATATATACTAGTGACACTAGTGTAATATATACTAGCGACACTAGTGTAATGTATACTAGTGACACTATAATATATACTAGTGACACTAGTATAATATATACTAGTGACACTAGTATAATATATACTAGTGACACTAGTATAATATATACTATTGACACTAGTATAATATATACTAGTGACACTAGTATAATATATACAAGTGACACTAGTGATGGGATAGAATCTGACCTTATTAGGAATGTTTATCAGAATGGCTATCTGAAACACCATGTGGGTTTATGGCACACAGCTGAGATGCCATATAGGTACATGCGTGCCACATAGGTACCACAAAGGTGCCACATAATTGCCTGGATCAAGAGGCTAGAGGTGTGCACGGTAGTTGAAAGTACGAAAGATATAGTTGGGAAAGTAGGTAGATTTTAATTGATTTTGTTTCGTTCAAAGGGCGGCGCTAAACCCCCAGGGGCTCGGATCAGTCCCTATTGCCTCCTCTGCAGGAGTGAGGAGGCAGTCCACACACTGAGATACTTTACATGAAGCGTCCGCTGTATGACCCTAGTGGGTTTAACGCCATTTTTCGATAATAATAATAATAATAATAATAATAATAATAATAATAATAATAATAATAATAATAATAATAATAATAAATACAGTAAGCGTTAGTAAGAAGTCAGAAAGAGAATCTGAATTACATGCAGTGGCGTCTCCACTATGTATGTATATTAGGGCCTCACTGGGGCTAGGCTGGTTAGAGGGGATGCTGGGAGACCTGTCTTCAAGTTGGGCTATTATTTATGATTATTATTGTTGTTGCTTTTATTATTATTTTTGTTGTTATTATTATTATTATTATTATTATTATTATTATTATTATTATTATTATTATTATTGCTGTTATTATTATTATTTGCAGTGGTTTCAGGGGGCTCATGGAGATTATGGGGGCTGAACCCCCCATTAAAAATCACGTAACTCAGATTTTCCAGACCGTTACAAGTGGAGGAAAGGAGGGGGAAGAGGCGAGCAGCAACATATGCCTATAGGAGGTGCCACATTTCTATATATACTTTTAATTTGTAAGACTTAATCTAGAAGCCTCCACAAACTAATGTACTATACACTACTATTTATACATATCTAAGCTGAGTTGGAGTTAGATATTAATTTATGTCAGTGACTACACTATTTCTCATAACTTACACTAAAAGGCATGAGTCACTTGTACCAGTTTGAGTGCCCTGACCAGCCAGCTGGCTGTGCCTACCCTCAGTCACAAAAAACCCACAGTGAGAACAGGGTGACCTTCCCTACCGTCCTTGCAGTAAAGTCAGTAAATGTGGGGCTGATAGTGCT